TCCAATTCACAGAGATCCGCCTGCCTCTGTCTCCTGAGTGCTGGGATTAAAGGCATGCACTACCACCACCCAGCATGAATCTTATTCTTTATTTTACTAAGTTTTATTATCTTGTTAGTATTGCATCTAGTGATTCCGAGAGCTACCAGAAAAGACTGAAACAATTTCAGCATTTGATGCCAATGAAAAGCATACAACAAACAGCATGAAAATTAGGAAATGGGGGCTGGGGAGAGAGAACTTGCTCTTCCCACACAGTACCCACATGGCAGCCAAAATCACCTATGACTCCAGTTCCAAGGGATCCAATGTCCTTTTCTGACCTCCACAGGCACCGGATATGCATGTGCAATACAAACATACATGCAGGTAAACCATACATGTAGAATAAAAATAATAAATCTGAAAAGTAAATAAAACAAGCTGGGCAGTGTTGGCACACAACTTTAATCCCAACACTTGGGAGGCAGAGGCAGGAGGATCTCTATGAGTTCAAAGTCAGTCTGGTCTACAGAGTGAGTTCCAGGACTGCCAGGGCTGTAACACAGAGAAACCCGATCTCAAGAAACAAAACCAAAACATTAATTAATTAATTAATTAATTAATTAATTAAGGTGTTCCTGTTGTTTTCTAGCTGGCACTGGCATCTCCTGGTTCTTGTCATCTTTATTAAAAAAAAAAAAAAAAAAAACCCAAAGGGGCAGGAGCAGTGTCTCAGCAGTCATGAGTGTGTTGTGTGCTACTTTGCAGAGGACCAGGGTTCAGCTTCCAGAACCCATGGCAGGGGGTTTACAATTGAGATCTGACACCCTCTTTTGGTCTCTGAGACCCCCCCCCATTCCCAGATACACTTAAAAAAAAAAAAAACAAGAAGTGCACACACATGGAGCAAAGAAACCAGGCTAACAGGCTAACTCCAGCTCCATGGTATATACTCTGAATGTGATGACTGACTAGACCGTGCACTTGAGGGCAACTTGAACCACGCAGCACCCCCTAAGCCTTACGCCCTGGCCAAGGCACACTAGACAACAGAGTTCAGACGAGACTCTTCCACAACGAGTTTAGCTCCTGCAACAAGATTGCCGAGGAGGGACAAGTAGCTGCTGCAGAGGCTTGTTCCATTCAAGCAGGAACCATGTGTCACTTCCTCCCTGGCTCCTATATAATTTCTCTCCAGAGGAAGAGGGGGTGGAAGGGATGGGAGCCTTAAAAGAATTTAGAATGGGTCTGGTGAGGGGGGAAGGGAAGGGCAGGCCAATGTGAAAAGCCAGTCTGAGTGGAAGAGGAGGATTTACCCAGCTGCGGCTACACCCAGTTTAAAATCCCCAGCATATTTTTATTTCTTGGCTCCTTCTCAGCCTCCCTTTTAACTGCACCCTCATCCTTTTTTAATTCAGCGCCGAGAGCTTGGCTCACTAGCTCCTCCCCCACTGCCTTCTCCTCCGAAATCTCACCCCTCTCTTGGTTGCATGGGTTTTTGGTGTGTGTGTGTGTGTGTGTGTGTTTCCTGCAAAGCTGAGAAACATCAAGAGCAGGCTGAATACTTTCCCCTCTCTACCCACCAAAGACAAAGTCCTTGCCTTATCTCATAGCAGGGCACACTCATGCGTGCACACACATACATAGACACCCCCCCACACACACACACACTGCATAATTCCCAGGGGGTGGCTATTTTAGAGCACTGATTTATCCAGCAGCTTTCTCCCTCGTAGTCTCTGGAGAGCAACAGAGAGCAAGGGGAAAATGGGGTCTACGGTTCATCTGCTGGTCTTAGGAGGGGGAAAAGGCCATTGCGTTCAGTGCTTCCTTGTTGTAGATGAGAAGACAGAGGGTCTGCACTTAGGAGCAGCACCCCAGCTAGAGATGTCAATGGGCTTGGCTGGCTGTCGAGGATCTGCCACGATTGGCTCTCTGCCCCCCCCCCCCACATTCATCTCGGCACTGCCGGGGCTTCTGTGACATTCAAAGGTCTTCCTTGAAAGCCACTTCAGGTGAGAGGTGTGTTCCAGCTTTTCCGGGAGCTGGTGTGTGACTCAAGTGCATTCCGAGTGTTACACTTAGACACCCCTTTGACCTTGTGCCTTTTGACGCCGCCTAGGCATGGGCAGTTTCCTTATTTGCCCTGTTCCTTATCTGGAAGCAGCCGAGTTTTCCCCACAAGTCGTGACAACTCTAATTGGCAAGGTGTGTGTCAACAATTCTAACCTCACAGGCCAGGCAGCATGAGCGGCATTGTTCACCTCTCACAGTGGTTCCAGAAAAGAGAGCAGCTCCCTTCCCATGGCTCACTCGATACCACACACACCCAGCCCAGGGGAGCAGAAGAACTTGAGCAAGGACAATTTCCTTTTGTGCTGATTCATCTCCGGCCGCGAGATGGGAGGCAAGCTTGTATTTTCTTTTCCAGCTTTCAGAGACTTTTAAATTCAGGTCTCTCTGAGGAGAGGCCAGGCGTGGGCAGCTGCTTGGCACTTAGTAGGGCCACATGAAATAATAGTAAAGGCATTGAGGATGACCCAGCTAGTAGTGAACATGTGGGTGGAAGTCACGGGGCTGCCTGGGAGTGGAATAGAGCTGGCCGGGAGGGTGGCATCCAAGGATGTACTTTTTGGGCCAGCTGTGACACAGCAATCCGGCCCTGATCTCACATCTGCACCCTGAGTCTAGGGAAGCCTGATTCAAATGAGGAAAGAGAAAATGCATCAGTTAGTAGTCTTTTTTCTTCTTGTATTTTGGGGGTCATGGAGTCAGATTTCTGTTAAAAAGATGGAAATTTAGAAATTTAGAAAGATTAAAAAACAAAACTACAGCCGGGCAGTGGTGGCACAGCCTTTAATCCCAGCACTCGGGAGGCAGAGACAGGAGGGTTTTTGTGAGTTCAAGGCCAGCCTGGTCTACACAGTGTTTGAGAACAGCCAGGCTACAAATCAAGCCAAACTGTATATTAAACAAGATTTCAACCAATTTAGTTTAGTTGTTGTTGTTTGGTTTTTCAAGACAGGGTTTCTCTGTACCTTTGGAGCCCATCCTGGAACTAGCTCTTGTAGACCAGGCTGGCCTCGAACTCACAAAGATCTGCTTGCCTCTGCCTCCCAAGCGCTGCGATTAAAGGCGTGCGCCACCACCACCCAGCTGTTATTTTAATCTTTTGTGACATTTTATTGTGTGTTTGTGCACGCGCATCTGTGAGAGTGCTGTGGAGGTCAGAAGACAGCTTGCATGAGTTGGTGCTCTCCTTCCACCATGGGGGTCCCAGGCGTTAGACTCAGGCTGTCAGATTTGACAATGGATGTCTTGACTCACTGAACCATCTTTCCGAATGTCTTATTTATTTTTTATTTACTTAGATGTTGGTATGTAACCCAGGTTTCCTTTGAACTCGCTATCACTATGTAGCCCAGGCTGGCCTCATTTCCCATCTTCTGCCTCATCTACTTGGTGCTGAGATCGCAAGTGTGGATGACCACCCTTGGGTTTGAGACAACCAATTCTTCTCTGAGCTTCTGGTCTCGCCACCGCAAGACCGAAATTGAGGGCTACCAAAGGGTAAACGAGCCGGGAGGCTTTGATTTACAGGACGCCAAGATCTGGACGTGACAGTGGATACTCTGAAACCCTCAGTGGCAGCCAGTTTGCCAGCCGAGGGGCTGGGAAGATGGCTCGTACTTTGCCACCATGCCTCACTACCTGAGTTCAATCCCAAGAAATCACGGAGTGGGAGGAAAGAACAGGTTTTCTCCGGTTGACCTGTGACCCAAAGGTACCACTGGGAGGTCCTGTTTTTGCAGCAAGGTGCAGTCCTTTGTTTTTCTGCTTTATTGTTGCACTCTGAGACAAATGATTTCATGAGATCTTTGGAACTTTTCATTTCAGCCTTTGTAGGCAAAGTTCTACATACTGTATCCCTTCGTGGGGATCATAGAGGCTCATCACACACACACACACACACACACACACACACACACACACATACACACACACACACACTAACTGGAAAATTTGGAAAATAGTTGATTTTCTTCCCTTTTTAGTTCCCTTTTAAGACGGGGGTTTACGTAGCTCAGGCTGGCCTTAGACTCACTATTTAGTAGAAGCTGGACTTGAACTTTTGACCCTCCTGCCTCAACATCCTGAGTGCTGGGGTTCCAGGCCTGTGTAGTGCTCCCAGCTGGCATAGCTGCATGTTTTTGAGGTTTCTGTCTCCCCTGTCAGTGCTGGTATTCTGGTGTTTCTCCTTCAGTCAGGCTTTTGTGACTCATGTCATTTTACTTCACACTGTTCCTGTGAAGTCATGAAGCTAAAATAAATACAGAAGCTGGGAATGGTGGTGCACGCTGAGAGCCACAGCAGTCAGGAGGCAGAAGCAGGAGGGTCGGGAGTTCAAGGTCGTTTTTAGCTACGTAGTGAGTTTGAGGCCAGCCTGGGCTACGCGAGACCCTATTAAGAACAAACCCCAAACAGAGGCTACAGAGGTTGCTCAGGAGGTAAAGGCATTTGGCACCAAATGCATGCATGCAATGCTTCTTTCCTTCAGCTTACTGCTGCAGCTACAGTACGATCTTAGTAGGATCCTTGAGTGGACTGGCCAAGACTTTCTGGGCTTTTGTGGTATTGTTCTGTGGCCACAGTGTCCAGGTCCCTGACGTCCTCTCAAGTCTCAGGTTGGTACATGACCATGGAGGAGACTGTCTGGATAGCTGAAGATCCACGCTCCACAGGCTCAGGGCAGTGGCATCATCTCCGTGAGTAAGGACACAGTCATGTCCTTGGCTTTCCCCCAAATGTCCTTCCACTCCCTCCAGAAGGGAGAACCAAGAATAAACGAGGCTTTTTCCAGAAAATTCTCTCATTTGTCAGTGTGAATGTTGATTCTCTGAGGGGACTAGGTCAGAGGTCCTGGAGAAAGAGAGAGTGAGAGCCCTTACACACACACACTTGCATGGAGGCAGAGGAACAGTCCAGAGCTTGATCAAGCCTGGCTCACATTCTGGCTGGAACCCTTTCTTGCTGACACCCTGGGGGAGGACGTGCCGGACACGTCGTAGACACTCACTAGCCAGTTGTGAAGAAAGCAGCGTGTTTTCCCATGTGGCCTTGGACAGCCCAGTTGACCTCGCCAGGCTTTCTATTTCCTTTGCTGCGAGATGCCGGAGCGGGCCAGCACGGGCTCTGGTTTTCCTCTCAGCTCGAGTATTTTTCGGGTCGAGAAGGAACTTTCTAAATTTAACCTTGCCGCTTCCATGTCAGCATGTTCTGGGTAGGGAAAAGTTCCAAGAGAACAGCCTTAAGAATTTTTTCTTTCCCAGAGAAATAGGACTTTGTTTTCTCAGGGTAGCATTTAAGAGCCAAGGGCTGGGGAGGGAAACGACAGAGTCCTAGAGATTGCTCACCACCTCGAATTAGTCTACGGATGACTGCCTGTCACAGCGTCAGGTAACCGTGACATTAGGAATATCTTGGGGAGGAAGACAGAAATATGCACTGGAAAAAAAAAAAAACCAAACCAAAATAAAACCTGGGGCTGGTGAGGTGGATCCTCAGGTAAAGGCACTTTTGGCAGAGCCTGAGGACCAGAGGTCAGGCCCCAAGACATCTGTGGTAAAGCGAGGACTGAAGGTGCCAAGCTGTCCCCTGACTTCTACATGCACGCTGTGGCAGGCACGTGCCCAGAATTTTGATCCCTTTGTGACTAAAAGGCAAAACTTAAATCCCAAAGTGGCTCTGTGACAGGGAGTTTTTCTTCTCGGATAAGTGAGACTGTCCTGTGGAGTGCCTGGGTCCCTTAATAACTCCTTGCTTAGCGCTGCCTTCCAGGAGCCAACCTGTTGTGGTCAAGTTTGATGGGAGGGGGGTATTCCTGGGAGGGGTGGGTTTGGTGGAAGAATTAAAGCATCAGAGTAGTGCTGTTGTTTTCATCCCCAGAAAGGGCCTGTGCTTCTTATGAACTCTAAGAAAGATCCAAGGAGCCAGGAGTAAAATTTAGACAGCCAGGAGTACTGGTTTGAGCGGATTTTCTTTTCTGCTTGACAGAGGTGGGACAGATGTTAAGATAGTTGGTACTTAAAAGTACACAGATGTTGTACTGGGAACAAAGTCTGGTGAAGGGGAGATAATTATATATTTATTATATGTTTCTGTATATATATGTAATATGGTTTTTTTTAGTGATTTATTTTTATTTTGTGTACACTGGTGTTTTGCCTGCATGCATGTCTGTATGATGGTGCCCAATCCCCTGCAGCTGGAGTTACAGAATTGAACCTGCATCCTTTGGCGGTTCTGTCAGTGTTCTTAACCACTGAGCCATCTCTCCAGCTCCCTGAATATATATTTTTGTGGTGGTGCTGTATGATTTTAATTCCAATTCTTGGGAGGGAGAAGCAGGTAGAAACTTTATGAGTTCAAGGCTAGGCTGGTCTGCATAGAAATTTCCAGGCCAGCTTGTTTATTTATTTGACTTCTAATCTTACGTTGGGATTAGCTATTTCTGTAAGGTTATATGATAGTTTTAAAGGCTACTTTTGTCCTTAGTATTTATATAATAGTAATGTTACTGATTAAAAATTATAGCTGAGCATGGTGAGCTAGCCTATAATTCCCAGGACTTGAGAGGCAGAGGCAGGAAAGTTGCCTGTGAGTTCTAGGCTGATGGGTAGGTACCACCGCATCAGGTCTCTTGGGTGCGGGTGATGGAGTCCAGGGCTTTACACCCAGTTAACAAGCACTGTACCAGCTGAGTTTCATCCCTGACTTCTATTTCTTCACTTTTTATTTATTTACCTATTTTGGTTTTCCGAGACAGGGTTTCTCTGTAGCTTTGAAGCCTGTCCTGGAACTCACTCTATAGACCAAGCTGGCCTCAAACTCACAGAGATCTGCCTGCCCTGCCTCCCAAGTGCTGGGATTAAAGGCGTGTGCCACCACCACCCAGCCACACAGTAAGTTAAAAAGGAAGCAACAATAATAGGAACAAACCTGAACACTCAGCTTTGGGGGTGGGCAAAGGTCTTGTAAGAGACTGAACTAATCACATTGATTTGATGAGCAGTTAACTAATAATAGATCATTAGGAGGTAGAAGCAATAAAGAAAGTAGAGGTGGGGCTCCCTGCAATTCGGTATCAGAGCAGAGCATTCAAAAGGTGTGGAAAGAGAGCTGGGGGTGGAAATACCTGCATAGAAGAAACCTCAGCCAGGACCTGCAAGTGAACCTACAAGAGAGGAGTTTCTCCTATCCATGGCTTTCTTTTTTTTTTTTTTTTTTTCCCCGAGATGGGGTTTCTCTGTGTAACAGCCCTAGCTGTCCTGGAACTAGCTCTTGTAGACCAGGCTGACGTCGAACTCACAGAGATCTGCCTGCCTCTGCCTCCGAGTGCTGGGATTAAAGGTATGCACTACCACTGCCCGGCTCTCTCCTATCAATTTTTGTCCTTTTAAGAGCCCTCGCTAGGTTGGTTCTGACTCACAGCAAAATTTAGAAGGGCTACTACCCAGTGATAGTCCACAGAGACTTCACTGCAGGTGCATCCAGGAAATGCAGCTATTCTCGGGGCGAAATGTGACATCTGCTGGCAGTGATGTCAGCACCTTCCTGGGTGTGGTGATACATACTTGTAATCCCAGCACTTGGGAGTAGAGGTAGGATGACAGGGGTTAAAGGTCATCTTTGACTATCTAGGGAAGTCAAGGTCAGCCCAGGGTACTTGACTTAAGAAAAAAAGTATGGTCCTTAAGGTGGAACACCAGGTCTTAACTCTGAGATGGTTCGAGTGGGGCAAAAGGCCTTTCTAGACAGACCAACTAAGGCAAGAGGGGCTGTATTATCATATACTGGGCAGAGGGAATTTATGAGAACTCAAACACTTTTCTTTGAAGATAGTCTAATCTCACTCATCTCATGCTGACCTCAAGCTTCTATGAAGTTGAGAATGACTTTAAACTTCTGATCAGGATCCTCCTTCCATCTGCTAGTTCCCCACTGTGACCACGGGCTGGCTCTCTCTCTCTCTCTCTCTCTCTCTCTCTCTCTCTCTCTCTCTCTCTCTCTCTCTCTCTCTCTCTCTCTCTCATGTATACAGATGCTTTGTCTGTATGCCCACAGACCAGAAGAGGCCATCAGATTGTGAGCTGCCATGTGGGTACTGGGAATTGAACCCAGGACCTCTGGAAGAGCAGCCAGTGCTCCTAACCTCTGAGCCATCTCTCCAGCCCTGACCAGAGGCTCTTGAGTATTTCATTTGGCTGCCATTGCCTTGTGCTTCTGGACTGGTTATTTCCCTTGAAGTCCTTCTTATGGGCCTTGCACATAATAACAATAAAACCAACAGCCTTTGGCATTTGCATAGCAGTTTGTAGTTTCTTATGGGCCTTCATAGCCCTTAACTGTTTGACTTTCCCAGGGCAACCCTGTGATAAAATTCTGATTATTATCTCATTTTGAGGCACGACATCTCTGCTCAAGGCTCTTGTCCCTAAGAGACTCTCATGCAGAAGGCCAACACCCTGACTCTGCCCGAAAGCTCCACACTTCTTTGTTGAATTAGAGAGATGCTGTTTGCCGTCGCCAGATCCATCAATGTTTATGGGCACAAGGAGGGAGGAGCCAGCCTGGTCGGTTGATACATCTTGTAGCTTTTATTTTTTGCTCATTAAGTATTAATCAGTTCATTCTTAAAACAGACAACCACTAAGGGCTGGCTCTTTTCCAGGACTAGGCTCTAGGAACTCACTGGAAAGGGAAGAATGCCACCCCTCAGTTAGTTACAAAGTGGGAAATATAAAGGCTACATTTTCTTTTTTTCTTTTTAAAGAGATTTATTCATTTCATGTATGAGGGTGGACTGGCATGTGTATACACGTACTATATGTATGTGTGCTGCCCTCAGAAGTCAGAAGAGGGCACTGGATCCCTTGGATCTAAAGTGATGGAAGGTTGTGAACCACCGTGTGTGTGCTGGGCATTGAACCTGGGTCCTCTATAAGAGCAACAAGCGCTCTTTCCCACTGACCCCAAAGACTACACTTTCAAGAGTCATTCTTACAGTTTGCAGGAAAGAATTTGTTATGGAGAGCACATGGGCTGTGACATCTGTCTGGGATGTCACCTAAGCCTTCCTTTCTATTACATGCGTTATTCATTGGCTTATTGTGTGTGCGTGTGTGTGTGTGTGCGCGCGCGCGCGTGTGTGTGTCGTGTGCGTGTGTGTGTGTGTGTATAAGTCAGGACCATGTGGGTCCCCAGTTGTCAGTCTTGGAAGCAAACACCTTTACCTGCTGAGCCTCCCGTCTGGCCACATCAGTTAAGTTTTCTGAGCGCACACACATTCTGAGCAGTCTTGAAATGCAGCGGGAGGTAGCTAGGGATTCTCCTTTTTTCTCTTCCTTATGTAGGCCATGCTGGAGAACTTGGCGCATAGCCAAGGATGACCTTGAAGTCCTCTCCTCCTGTGTCTACTTTGAGTGCTGGAATTACAGGTATGGACCACTACACCTGTAATTATGGAGAGCTGGGGATGGAATCCGGGGCTTTGTGCATGCCAGGCAAGCATTTCGTCAATTGAACTACATTCCTAGATTCCAGTCAGGGTTTTTTCAGGGAGGGCTGATAGTCTCACGAAGTCTTGAAGCTTGTTGGTCAGTGGGATTGAGAGTGGGGTAGACAGTGAAGGGTCATATTTGCTCAACTATATTTTAGGAGAATGGGTGACAGTGTCCACTAGCTCAGGGCCCCTAGGCCCCTAAGTCTGAATCGCTAGTCTGCCCTTAAGGAGTGTGTGACTTTGAGCAAGTAACTTACATTCTTTTTTTTTTTTTTTGTGGTTTGTGGTGCTGGAGAGGTAGCTTAGCATGGCCTGACATGCATGAGAGCCTGGTCCATCCCCGGCACTGTGGAATTGTGTGTGATGATGTGCATGACTGTAATCCCAGCACTCCCGAGGTGGAGGCAGGAGGGCCAGGTCATCCTTGTTACATAGTGAGTTCAAATCCTACCAGAGACAGAGCAAGTCAGTCCAATGACTCTCTGTTTGTGATTTCAATTTCTCTGGTACATTCATCCCACGCCCGGATGGTTGCCTGGCCTTACTTTACAAAGCCTGGCCCACGTGTCTTCTCCAAACCTTAAGCCAGTCTTGGCATGATGCCACCAGACAAGGAAGGCTGCTGCCCATGTCACAGGTGCAGAAGCAAACTCAGCCAAAACCCCAAACAGAGCTGTGCTTGTGACCAGTTGTCTGTGATCCCAGTATTCAGGAGGCTGACAAGCATGCTGGGTAGTATGAGGTCTGTCTGGTTAGATGTGAGTACCAGACCAACCAGAGCTACCCAAAGCAAGACCTTGTCTCCAAAAACCAACCAAACAGTGAGTGTGGTAGCTCATTCCTTCAATCCCAGCACTCCAGAGGCAAAGGCAGGTGGCTCTCTGTAAGTGTGACGCTAGGTTCATCTGCACAGTGACCAACATAATGTTTCCCAGGTTTGCTAGAGCTACTCAGTGAGGCCCGTCTCAAAAACAAAACAAAACAAAAGAAAAACCCTAGAAGCAACAACAAAAAGACAATGAAACAAAACACCCCACAATAAATGGACTCAGGAAGGTAAAGAGGGGCACTGCCGGCTGTTTGTACTCACAACAGTTGAGTCATTTCCACGCAGAGCTTCCCACTCTAATATCTGAGGTGGGTACACCAGACAGCATGCTGGCAGATCCTATCAGGGGAGGTTCCTCTCGTCAGGAGGAGGAAAGCAAACGTGCTCTCCATCTGTCTTCACTGCGTTTACGGCTCTCTAAACACATCTGCTGCTAAAGGCGGCAGCCGAGGAAACAGTGTGGGAACGAAAGGGGAGAGCCCCGAGCCAACGCTGACCACAAGTATGTGGGCTCGAAAAGCCTGTCTTGGTGGAAATGCTCCGGGGTGCACCCCTTCAGCTGGCCCGAAGGTGTTTCCAGACTACGATGAAAGACAGTTCCAGAGCATCATGTCCGCAGACCTCCACGGGGGTCAAAACCAGCGACAGGGTCCTTTCAGGTGCACGTGGTGACTGCCTATTTCTGGGGCCCTCGTTTATGTTCAGTGCTAGCCACAGGGCCGAAAATGTGTGTCTCACCAAGTCCTCATTGCAAATCTGGGTGTTCAAGAATTCTTCTTTTGAGACAAGATCTTTGTTTGTTTGGTTTGATTTTTTTTTTTCCAAGACAGGGTTTCTCTGTGTAACAGTCCTAGTTGTCCTGGAACTAGCTCTGTAGACCAGGATGCTCTCGAACTCACAGAGATCTACCTGCCTCTTCAACACAAGGTCTTATCATGTAGCCCTGGCTGGCCTGGAACTCACTAAGATCTCTCTAGCTCTGCCTCTGCATTCTGAGTCCGGGGATTAACGATTTGTGCCACCATGCCTGGCATAGGCTTCTTTTCCCCTTTTAATTACTGCTGTTTATTTCAAGATAGTTTCTCTGTGTAACAACCTTGGCTGTCTTGGAACTCATTTTGTAGACCAGGCTGGCCTCAAACTCACAGAAATCCGCCTGCCTCTGCCTCCAAGTGCTGGGATTAAATGTGTGTGCCACCACTGCCCGGCTCTGGTTTAGGTTTCTTAAAATTATTATTATCTCAATTTACAGGTGAGGAAACTAAGCCTTGGAGAGAGTCTCTAATTCAGGCTGGCTTCCAACTTCCTATGCAACCAAGGATGCACTTGAATCCTGCTGACTCTACCTCCTGAGTGCTAGACTTAAAGACTCCTGTCTCCAAGCCTGATGACCTGAGTCATCAGGGACTCACGCAGCAGAAGAACTGACTCCTGCAGGTTGCTGTCTGACCTTCATAACATGTTATGGCACACATGCCCCTACACTCCTTGAAGGGACACTAGGGAAAGCCTTGCTCTTCCCTCATTCTCTCTGCCTTGCTAAATCATAAGATTACAGTTCTAAGCTAATCAACAAGATCTACTCCCTATTTTGGCCACTTCCTCCTCCTGAGGTTGACTACCAAGGTCCAGTTATCAAAAGCCCCCTTTGGTTTACCTAATTAACAGGTCTAATTAAAATTAAGCACCTCATCCTAACATGGGGTTTCCCCTTTTACCTTTATAAATTGCCATTTGCCTATGAGTCAAGTCTGTCTCCCCTCTATCCAGAGGGAGTCCTTTGTCGTCCCCCCCCAAACAAATACCCATTCCTCCTTTCCATTGGCCCTGCCCCTTCCCCTTCTCCCTGGTCCCTTGTCTCTTTTACCATTACATCCTAGCCCATTCTCACACAGACCTCCCCTTCTTCTCCTTTTAAAAATGACCCCTACAAGGTCATTTACTACTGTTTTCCTGTTAAAGCAGTCACTTCAATGTCTCTTCCCTGCTTAATAAAGGATCTCTTGGGAAAACAGGTGCTTGGGTGCGGTTTGTGCCTAATCTGGAGTCCGGGAGGAAGCTCCACTGTGTGTGTGGGTCTCCTTCGTTCTCACACACATAATAAAAAAATACACATTTTTAAAACCCTGCACCTTGTTTCAGCCCCTCCACCCAGCATTCTCTGCTAACCTCAGAGCCACTTGGAACGTGACTTTTGGGTCCTTTACGTGCCGCTCACAGATGACGATCTGTTTGAAAGGAAGGTAGTTGCCTGGGAGAGAGACCCTATGGACTTTTGTGAATTGGAATGTGGGGCTCAGTGAATGAAATAATGGTGGTTGGAGCAGGCAGCAGAGATCACGCACGGGTGGCAAAGTGCTGTCCCCGCCCCTGCTCTCCTGTCTGTGGAGCAGGCAGCAGAGGGCACGGTGGGCGGGCGCTGTCCCTTACCCTGGTTCACTCACGAGGTCTTTCTTGGAAAGGAACGGGCACAGTTCTAGTGTTTCTCTCCAGCTGGCTCATCCCGTGACCTTCAGACGGTTCTCTCTCTGCTCCTTTGTTTCTCTCATAGCAGTGGGAAACGGGCCTTCAGATACCCACCTACATCGTTCCTCAAAGGGAGATATTATAAGACAAGCCCCAGACAAGCCCCACAGCAGGGGCAATGACTCAGCCCTTAGGAGCCCTTACAGAGGAGTGGACCTGAGTAGGGTTCTCAGCACCAATATCTAGCCCTTGACAGATGCCGCAGCAGCGAAGGGGACCTGAACATGGTGCAGGGACACATGAGTAAAGCCGAGCAAACCCATAGCAGCCCTGAAGCAGTGCAGGAGGGCTGGGGACAGCTAAGGCACCCTCTCCAGAGGGTCAGACAGAGGAAGAAAATGGCAGCTGACCCTGCCGAAGGGAGTGTATCTTAGCAGAGAAGGGTTCCTGAGAGGAAACAGAGACAGGCTGTGGCCAGAATGGAATGCACTAAGCAAACCAGGCTGGCCTTGACCACCAGCCACTATCTCCCAATTCTGGGATTAAAGGCACACCCTATCACTGCAGGGCTTACCAGTGTATTTTTATTTGTTTGTTTGCTTGTGTATGTATGTATGTATGTATGTATGTATGTATATATTTGATGGAGGAAGGTCATTGGTTTATTATAATAAAGAAACTGCTTGGCCCTCATAGGTTAAAACATAGGTGGGAGGAGTAAACAGAACAGAATGCTGGGAGGAAGAGGAAGTGAGCTCAGAGGCCATGCTCCCCTCTCCCGGGCAGACGCGATGAAGCAAGCCGCCAGGTCAGACATGCTAAATCTTTCTCGGTAAGCGCACCTAGCGGTGCTATACAGATTATTAGAAATGGGCTAAATTAATATGTGAGAATTGGCCTAGAAGAGGCTAGATATAATGGGCCAAGCAGTGTTTAGAAGAATACAGTTTGTGTGTTGTTATTTCGGGGTATAAGCTAGCCAGGTGACCAGGAGCTGGGGCGGCAGGAATGCAACCCGCAGCTCCTACAACATGTATTATTTTGTTTTTTTGAGATACGGTTTCTCTGTGAGTCCTGGCTGTCCTGGAACTTGCTCTGTAGACCAGGCTGGCCTTGAACTCACAGAGAGGCACCTGCCTCTGCCTCCCAAGCGCAGGGATTAAAGGTGTGTGCCATCATCACCAGGTGTATTTTTTTTATATTTATCTTTGCCCTTTCTTTCTCTGCTCACCCCCCTTCTGAAACAGTGTCTCATGAAGCTTGAGCCAACCTCTAACTTGTTAAGCAGCTGAGGATGGCCTTAAGCTCCCATTTCTCCTTCTACAGACTCCTGAGTCCTGAGACAACAGACATGTGTCATCGTATCTGGCTTTCCAGATGCATATATAGCTTTTAATGACATATTCTTACTAATTCTTTAAGAATTTCATACAATATTTTGATGATATTCATTACTGACTCCCACAATCTACCCCACCTCCTCCCATGTTTTCTTTTCTTTCTTTCCTTCTCCCCCCCCCCCACCTTTTAAATTTTCTCTTACAACCTGCCAATTATCAACCTACCAGGACCACATTCTTAAACTGACTCGGGACAAGGCCAGCTTAGTCTACAGAGTGAGTTCCAGGACAGCCAGGCCTACAGAGAAAAACGCTGTCTCAAAAAAACAAAAACAAAAACAAAACAAAACAAAAAACCCAAACTCTGAGTTACAGAGTTTAAAAACACAGGCATGGTGGCAAGAGCCTTTAATTCTAGCAATCAGGAGGCAAAGGTAGGTGGATCTCTGTGAATTGCAGGCCAGCCTGATGTACAAATCGAGTTCCTGGACAGCCAGGGGCTACACAGAGAAACCCTGTCTCAAAAAAACAAACAAGCAAGAAGAAGAAGAAGGAGAAGAGAAAGAAGACGGAGAATTAAAGAAAGAAAACTGGTTCTTCCTTTCTCTCTCTCTCTCTCTCTCTCTCTCTCTCTCTCTCTCTCTCTCTCTCTCTCTGTGTGTGTGTGTGTGTTAATGTGTTTATATATGTGGAGGTCTGAGGGAGTCACTTCTCTCTTTACTGTGTGGGTCCTGGGACTTGAACTTGGGTAATGAGTCTTGGCCCCAGGATTTTACTGAGTTATCTTGCCAGTCCCTACATATATATTTTTTAAAGTAAGGGATGCAATGTATCATAACATCTAACCAAATAGAAATTTAGTCCTTTGGGAACCACAGAAGCTTAGCATGCTCAGTTTTATGATACATGCTTGGGGAACAATATAGAATAATTATTTGTTACGAGTTTTAAAACAATAGTGATAGGTTTCTGTAGCCTGATAATAGGTTTCTCTGCCAAACCAGTAAGCCAGATCAAGCCAAATTAAAAAGTAAAAGACCAGGTTTATGTGGGCAAAACACTCCCCAGGTGACTCTGTAGCCCGCAGAGAGTGAGGTGGGGGAAGGGGGCAAGAGAAAAATCACAGCCCATCTAAAGAAAAGGACTTAAATACCCTGTAGCCGAGGGCTGTTGAGTAACGTGTTTGCCATAGGCTGAGTTTGTACTCAAGTATGGTACACTTTTAGGCAGGATCTCGAGCAGCTGACTGCCAGCTAGTTTTTTTTTTTTATGATTTTTCATTGTTGGAGATCCTCTGAGGGCAGGGTTTGGAGAGAGAAAGAGAAACGGAGGCTTTCGCAGGAGCGAGCCGTAAGTCCTAGCTGAACAAAAAGTTAAAACACATTTGCGAGAGACATCTTAAGTGTTACTATAGATACCGGCTACTAAAATGACTTTATGACTTGGCCTTTTCTGGTTTTTAGAATTGTGTAGGAGCTTGTTGAGATGACTCAGTCAATAATGTTTTCATCTTATAGTGTGGGGATTTGAATTCACTTTTCAGAACCTGAGTGAAAACTCTGGGCATGGTGGCATGCATTTGCAATGCCAGGGCTGGAGAAGTGGGGACAGGAGGATCTCTGCGGCTCACTGGACACTTAGTTCAGCATAACTGGTGAGGTCCAGGCCACTGAGAGATGCTGTCGCATAGGATGGTGCTCGCCAGGCGGTGACACCTGGCCTTGTCCTCTGGCCTCCACTTACAGCAAATACATGTGCATGTATATGGGCAAACATGCACACACAACTGGAAAAAGAAAAAACAACTTTGTATGGCATTATACTCTATATAAAATATGCATGCTATAATTGTTTTATGGCTTTATTTTTAGAATTGTTTCAAATATGTCTTCCCATATTTAGACTCTCTTATTTTGTTCTGTTCTTATGTCTTAATAATGTTTATTTTTTCGAGACCAGCCTGGTCTACAGAGCTAGTTCCAGGACAGGCTCCAAAGCCACAGAGAAACCCTGTCTCGAAAAAAAAAATGCTTATTTAAAAAAAAAAAAAGAACAAAACACCTTCCCAGGGTTTATTTATTACGTGTAAGAGCAGTTTGCCTGTATGTTTGTATATGTACCAGATGTGTGCCTGGTGCCTACAGAAGTAAGAGAATGGTGTCAGATCCATTGGAACTAGAGTTACAAGCGGTTGTGAGATACCATGTGGGTGCTGGGAATTGAACCCAGGTCCTCTGCACTCACAACAAGTGCTCTTCAGCATTGAGCCATCTCTCCAACCCCCCTTGCTTTGTTTTTTGTTTTGTTTTGTTTGAAGCACAATTTCTCTGTGTAGCCCTGGCTAACCTGTTTCTGTAGACCAGGCTACCCTCGAATTAGGAGATCTGCCTGCCTCCGACTCCCAAGTACTGGGATCAAAGGTGTGTGCCACCATTGCCCAGCTCAGCCCCCGTTTTTAAAAGAAAGTATACAAATTATTCATTTTTAAAAAAATTAAAAACGTTTTCTTCACGTGTATACACACGTGTCTGTGCATGTGTGTTACCTGTATGCTAATACCTGCAGTGGGTAGAAAAGGGTACCAGATCCCTTAGAGAGGGAGTCACAGCTTGTTGCCAACTATGCAACACGGGTGCTGGGAACTCTGGTCCTCTGTAAAGTGAGCAAGCCTAATGACTGAGCCATCTCTCTAGCTCACTAGTTTCATTGATTGTTTAAAGCAAGGTCTCTTTTGGAGCAGGCGGGCCTGGAAGTTACTACGTAGCAGAGAATGACTGGACCCTTGGTCCTCCCGCTTCCCCACTGGCTCGCACCGACATATTTGAATTTGACGAGTGTTTGGGAATTTAATGTTGATGTTACTTACCTGTCCCACCTGCGCAGTTTATTCAGCTGGTTTCCAACGGCTGGGGCGTTTCAGTAAAATTCAATTCTTCATTACTACACAGGGCCTATTTTAATCGCATGCAGATTCCTACCCGCCACAGTACGGGCTCTTGGCTTGGCTCCCTCTGCTGTCAGTTGATATATACCCAAGGAATGCCAACCCATTTTATTATTAGCTTGTGCGAGACCAAATTAAGAAGGGACCACAAACGTTTTATTTTTAAAACTAGGATGCGCATTTATTTCAAAAGGCATTGGGGAGTGATTTCTGTAGGGAGTGACTGGAGTTGGGACCCTTGCACCGTGGCTTTCA